GATAGGTCTTGAATGAAGGGAGTACCCCGGGTGCCGGTCCAGGGGCCATTTCAGGCCTCTGGCTGTGTCAGGACGGAGCAGCCTGAGGGCCCAGCTCAGCCTGGCTCTCCTTGGGATGGTGCAAAAAAGGGTTATGGAAGGGTTTTTGCCACTGGATGTTGAAGCCAGACATACCCAGAGTGGTTCTAAGCTCATCCTCCCCCACCCCTCCTCCCCACAGGCCACCAACCCTCCAGGTTACACAGCTGATTAATTTGAAAATTGAGTTGCAGCTGAATGAGTTGATGTTGCTTTCAAAGTTCACTGGTGTTTAATTAGAACCGTCTTGAGACTAAACCAGCTCCAAGGAAATTATTCTGACCGAATAATTAAAGAGAATAAAGGTTAGATTTGTGTTCCTGGTTAAGGCTGTGTTGTATTCAACACTTCCAACGCATGAATCTCATTAACCTTTCATGAACCAACATTAAATTGCTCTCAATGAGTTGTCATTTAATTAAGGCAGAATCATACAGAGGAGCCTTTGTTTATGCTTGGTGGCTGCATCATCTCTTCCTTCAAGTGGTCCTTGGGAAACGGTTTTCTAACTTTGTACACATCCAGGTACCTGCAGCTCCCTTTCTCAGGACTTTTCATGGAGCACTGTGGAAAACTGGTCCTCAGATCACCAAGGCCAAAGTTAATGGGTAGCTGAGGTGGCCTAGGCAAGCTTGGTGGTATTCTAGGTATTCTAGCCACGGGAGGTCAGGTGGGGAGTATGCTGTGTCCTTTGAGGCCATCCCTGTTCACTCTGGACTCTTGAGTGCTGGTGACCTTGGTTGTGGTGGCTGGGAGTAATGGAGTCAGGCTCCTATCTAGTGGCCATTGCAGAAGACATGGGCCAAGCTTCATGCACCTGCTGCAGGACTCCTGGTTACCAAGCATATTTCATTTCTGCCTCTTTCCAGTTGGTTATAGACATGATGAGTTATAACAAATAAAGTGCCTATGCCAAGGCAGGGTTCCTCAAGGTGAGCTTCCAGGCCCCCAGAACTCATGAGGCCCACAGCAACACAGGCCCTCTTTGACTGTTTAGATTCTGACAGTTCTGTTACCTATTTGTCTCAGGACATTTTCTGGCCTTTAAAATGAATTATTTGTGTATTAGTAGTGTGTGTGTGTGTGTGTGTGTGTGTGTGTGTGTGTGTGTTTCACGGGGTGGAGAACAGAACAGATGACAACTTGCTGGAGTGAGTTACTTCCACCATGTGACCTTGGAATGAATTGGGTTGTCAGGCTTGGTGGCAGATATTTTCACTTTTTTCTTTTCTTTCCTTCCTTTTTCCTTCTTCCTTCCTTCCCTCCCTCCCCCTTTCCTTCCTCCCCTTCCCCTCTTCCCCCTCCCTCTCCTTCCCTCCCTCCCTCCCTCCCTCCTTCCTTCCTTCCTTCCTTCCTTCCTTCCTTCCTTCCTTCCTTCCTTCCTTCCTTCCTTCCTTCCTTCCTTCCCTGTTTCTTTTTGCCAGTCTTCTGGTGCTTCAGGCCCAGAGAACCTCAGTGTGGGTAGTTGTGACCTTAACAGAACAAGCAGCTCAACTCCACTGGAGAACCCAGTCCTACCTCCATCTTCATGCTTGGTAGCTTGGGTTCACAACAGTGCTACCAGCTGACCCGGATGCTGGATCATGAAGCCTTGCTGGACTCTCTCCTCCTCTTTCTCTAGCTCCTGGGATGTCTTCCATTCTCCATATTTCATCCTGCGCTTCTTTGTGAGGACCCTTAACTGTCCCTTTCTGCAAATCTTCCATTAGCAAATCTGGAGTTTCCTGGCGATAGGCACCCCAACTCCCTCTCTGCTAAGGGACTTTTTCCATTTCCATACCAATGCCCTTTGAGGCATACACCATGCTGCCATCACTGATTTTGTTGTGGGGTGCTGGAGACAGAATGGGGACCCTCGAGAGCATGTGATGAGATCAGACTGGTGACTCCAGCTCTCCAGACGGAGGTGGGGTCAAGACCCAAGAAGGCAAGAGGCAGCACTGTTTAAACTGTATATGGCCCGAGGGAAGAAACGTACACGGACTCAGGACAGCACCAGCAGTGGGGGGAAAAGAAAAGATGTGCATCAGAGAGCGGGAGTCTGTTCAGGTCTGTTCTGTATCCTTCTGGTGGCCTGGGAGACTCCTACTCTGGTTGGCAGGCAGCAAATGTGTTGGGGACAATCACCAACTCCTGGTGCTGATCCAGGGTGCCACAGGTAGAAGGCAGACTGGAAGAGGCTTCAGGTGGCTGGGCTGATGCTAGGGGAGGACTGGGGACCACTGGGCACTGGGGGCCACCCTGCCCGCCCATGTGATCAGTGGCAAAGACTGCCACTGAGAACAGACGAGCAAAGAGCAGTTGCTGAGATCCTCAGGGTGAGGGGTGTGTGTGTGTGTGTATCCATGAAATCTCCTGAGTGGCCCCTTAGGCAAACCCCAGTGTTTAAATTTGTTAATGTTCAATGAAAAATGCAATTGATGACTATGATTTAATAAAGAAAACTCTTCCTTAATGTGTTTCAGTTTTGTTGATTGTGAATGGCAAATTCATTACTGGAGTCACCTGCAGGCTCTCCTGGAGTCCCTAACATGCCCTGTTGCTTGTGCCCTTCAGGACAGGCACTGTTGTGCTCTGAAGAGGACAGGCTTTCCTGTATCATGAATCAAGTTGGCTAATGTCATTTATTCAAGCCCTTGAAGACCTGGCTTTGCTTGAGCAGATGAGGGCAGAGCCCCAAATTCTCTTCATCTCTCCTTTTTCATGGGGCCAGCAGCTGGGGCAGTACAGGCAGGCAGCGTATAACTCGCCTCCACCCACCATAGGCAATACTTTGATAGGACTCAAGTAATTACTGCAGTTAAAACTGGGTCTTCACTATGGTCAGCAGGCTCATGCATCACTTATGATGGAGATGATGTAGGTGATTTCTTCCTTATGTGAGCACCACAGTGATCTCTACAGACAGCAGCATCACTAGGCAAGATGACATTATGGGATGGGGGATATGGTAGGAATGTGGTTAGGTTTCCTGTTAATTATTCATCTGCCCCCCCGGCAGAGGGCTGGTCTACTATGTGTGGGTGGAGGACTCTGGACTGTGTGGTCCTCCTACCAAGGGGATTCTAGGCTCTGTTCAGAATTAATGCATCTTCTTAGCGGAAATGTCAAGGCCCAGCCAATGTCTCTGCTAATGATTCTGGCGATGAGACACACAGGACCAGCAAACTGTCTGCCATGAGAAAATGGGTTTTGGCTGCAAAGCAGTCACTTGGGAGACAGTCATGGTCTTTCCAATGCTGCAGCAGCCACATGAAGCTGCTCACCCTTCACCCCCCCCCCCACTTAATTAATTCTGGACAAAGGAAGATGGCTTAGCTCAGTACTCAGGAAAGCAGTGGGGCAAGCTTTAGGAGGGTTCCAAGAACAAGGAGTGCACAGTGTCCGTTGGAGGAAAACAGGCGAGTGGAAAAAATCCTAGCAATGGGGCACAGCAAAGGCTTGTCCCCTTATTTGCTGCAGGAAGCAAGAACTGCTACAGATGGGGCAAATCTGAAATGTTCCAAAACCTAAAACTTTTGAGTACTATGATAATGACACCAGTGGAAAACTCCATGCCTGACCTCACGTGACAGACCATACTCAGGATGCAGAGGCATTTAATATGTCAAATTACCTCCCAGCTATATCAGTATATCTGAAACATATACGTGGATTTTATGTTTAATCGTGTTTCACCAATTGGTATCTCACTATGTATATGAATGTGTATGCATGCAAGCAATTAAAGAACCTGAACCTTGAAATACTTCTGGCTCCAAGCATTTTCAATGTGAGCAAGTTAACTTGTACCAACTAATGGCACTGGAATGGACCAGATGAGGTCAGAGGGCTTGGGCTGCCAGCTGTGGCCACCGGTGTTACACACCTCAGAAGTTCATCCCCAGGTCCCTTTGTGATCACACCACAGCAAAAAATTCAGACACCTGTGATGGCAGAACCAGCCAGGAAAGCCATAGGTGCCTCCCAGTTTCAGCAAGTCACCTGACCCAGGGTAGAGCACAAGATCAGAGATGGCATAAAAGGGCTTTGCTGCCAGTGTAGTTCACTTAATTGGCAGAAAGCGAGCCTATTAACTGGGGGCATAAATCAGAAGTGATTTCCTCTACTGGCATGAGGTTTCTTGCCACCAGGAGTTTGTCCACAACAGTCAACCTGTGCTTCCTTTTCCACTGCTGTATTTTCTGATATCTGAACAGTCATAGAAAGTTATCAGAATAAACTAACTTACAAATACACGTAAAAATAAAAGAACCAAGTATGGTGGAACATGCCTGTCATATAAACTTTCCAGGCTGAGGCAATTTGGGCACAAGTTTAAGGCCAGCCTGGGATGCATAGCAAGACTGTCTCTGACAACCACTACAAACAAGCAAAGGCAAAGGAAACTGTAGTGAGAATTTTGATTTCTTAAAAAAAAAAAAAAAAAAAAAAAACAGAAATATTACAAGAATGTTTTTGTTTTAAACCCACATGTGTGAATATAGGGCTGCTTCAAGCAGCTACGATTTGCTTCAGGCTCTGGCAGGGGTGTGATTTTGCCAGCTGCAGACCGTTTGCGTTTCTGTAATGTTTGGAATTCTGGGGGCTTTTCAGATGGTATATAAATGCTAGGGCCAGGAGAGGTGGGGTGGGATGTTGGCTGGTTAAGTAGTCATGTATAAAGAAGAAACAATAATAAGAAATTAGATATCCTGTTGGCAAAGATCAAACTTGCCCCAAGGAACTCGATATCCCTAGCTGGCAGGAAATAGTTCTATGACAATGTCTTTCCGACCCTGATGTTATTCAGGGACCTCTTCCTCATCCTTTTTTTTTTTTTTTCTCTTATCTAGTGTTAGGGAGTTGAAAGTGTAGAAGGGGTAGAGAGGGTGGAAGAAAAAAGAACCCATAAAGTAGTAAAAAGCAAGGTACAGGAGACGTTTTGATTATCTTAATTTTTAATCTTCAAAATTTTCTGCCATGACATCGGAATGCATGATAGAAGTGGCTCATCTTCACATGAAACACTTGGGTTCATTTTCATTCACAAGTTTTTCTAAAATAAAAAAACAATTACAATTTCATAATCCCACATCCTTCCAACCATTGTCACAGATCTGACTGACATGAAACAGTAGTTGCCAGCACCGGAGGCTGGAACGTTCTCTGCGCATTAGTAGTGTCTTTGGAAACTACCACCCAAGAGTATCATGATTCTAAATCTCACTGTACACAGAAAACCTAAAGGTGAAAGAGAAAGTCCCTGCTTGTGGAGAGCTGTAGCTCCAGGCACAGAAAGAAGTGTACTTTCTTCTCCTTGAATTGCTTGTTCATCTCCTAGTATCCTTTTTGCAAGAACTTGATTTCATCTCCACTACTGGCTTGTGGACATATGCCTGAAGTTGTATTCTCTGACATCTGGGTACAGAATGAACTGAAAAAGTCAGGTGGCTTGGAATCTCCTCTTTGGAAGAGAGCTAGTTTGAGGTGAGCTTTTTTTTTTTTTCCTTAATTAAAAAAAAAGTTGTAAACAAAAAGAGAGAAATACACACGGACCTAACCCTGGACAAAGAAGACTTACACTGAACATCTGATGTGTGCATCTTCTTTAGAGATACACAGCTCTCCGCTCGTCCTTCCACACACACCGTTCCATGCAGCGTGTGAGCCTGAGTGTCCTGGAGTTCACTGGAGCTGTCGTATTTCCAAGCGGTGATGACATGCCTGACATGCGTTACCCCTGAGAAGACGCTAGAAGGGAAGACAGTGCTGATGCACGTTGGAATGGCACAATCACGGGAACGTTTCCATACTTAAGACCTCTGAACTTACGAAAAGTTTCTAAACATAATCCAACAACAAAAAGTATGAGAACAACGTAGCAAGTTAAAAAAATAGTTTTTGTAATCAAAGTATAAACGAACATAAGAAATGCACACTTATCAGCAATTTAAGTAGGAAACATATACTTAAGAAAAATAGTTATCTGACAAAACTTGAAAAAGCCCAGCTTACCCATGTATACCAACACATGCACTGCCCAAACCAAAGCTCGCCATACCAGGGTGCAGGGCTCACAGGAGGAGGAAAATGCCCACAGACAGCACATCTGCAAAGGGTACAACCTACAAGCAATGCTGTGTCTGTCAGAAAGACATCTTATCCCTCGGTGTAATTACTTTGTATTAAAATTATAACTAGACCAGTAAATTTCAAGCACCAATGCAAGCAGGGAAACTACTGTGCGTATACTTGTGCTGAGGAACGGAAGTGCTGAAGGCGAGGGCGTCAGTTCGCAGGCCGCCGTTACAGCTCATGTTTTAAAGGCTTGCGGCTTTTTTCTTCCGTCCCCTTGAACACCAAACATTAGAGAGTGTTTAGGCCAGGGAAGGGCTCCTTGGAGAATCGACCATCTCTCAGAATCACGGTTTAATATACACTAAAAGCTTTTCTGCGAAAAAAGGCTTGCTTCCGGGATAATCTGTACACAAGACACTGAGGGCTGTTCCTTGTTATAACTTAGAAAAGGCAGCACCTAGAGAGTAGCCTAACAAGCACATCTGGACATCTACGGTAGTGTAAGAAAATGCAGTATCACACAAAAAGGCAACACCATCGCACTTGGCAATACTGAAGTTTTCCTTAATTAAAAAGTTCCCGTTAGATCTGAGTGGGACAGTATCACAATAAGAGCACTTTCTCCTGCTTTCTTTCTCTGCACCAGGAGAAAAGGCAGTCCGAGCCGGCAGATGAGCGATGGCGCCGCGATGCTTCCAGCCGCTCTGAGGAAATCACGTTCAGATAATGGGTTGATTTCGATGGTACGGATGCAGTTTTGTTTCCAGTATTCACACCACACATGGTGATCTTTTGGACACACTCACCTGTCACTGCTATTTAAGTTTGGTTAAGTTTTCAACATCTACCAAACAATCTTTTGGGTTGCTCTAGCTCACAGATGGCAGGTCAGACTGCTGAAGAACATCTGATCACATGGGAAACAGACCTCCACTCACAGGGGTTCCCCATCCCTGCCCACCCTGTTTCTGCTCCATCACACCTCGGGCAGCCAAGGGGGCGCTGCAGCCTAAGCTTCAGCACACCACTGCTGCGCCTTGCTCGTCCTCAGGCAGGGTGGTTGCTCCCTGCTGCTCGCCTAGCTCACTGGCAGGCTCTTCATCAATCACCGCACCAAGGTCTTCACTGGCCCCCTCACTCTGTTCCTCGCTGGGCTCCGCAGTCTGCTCCAGACTGTTCTCCACAAGCGTGGGAGAGCTGCTTATTCTGCTTTCTTCTTCTACTGTCTCAGTTAACGGTTGGGAAGGAGGCAGTGGAGGAGGGTTAGACTGCCTGGCATTTTCAGTGGAAGAGGCGGTGGCTTTGGCTAAACTGGTGTCTGTTAGGACCTCATTTTGAGGCAAAGGTAACTTTTCCACGAGCTTCCACTGAATGATGCTCATATCTTTCCCACCAGTTGAAATTAGGTGACTGTCATTATGGGTAAAACTGACGTTGGTCACATGGCTGCTGTGGGCACTGTACTTGTGACTGGGAGCCTATAAAATAAAGGAGATGGGAAAATTAAACTCACCCTTACATGCCTGCTTAGAGCAATGGAGATGACCAGGGAGATTAAGTCAGCTTATGAAAACAGGTTAATTTACAGCAAAGCCACAAATCGTCAGATCTGAGGAATAAAACAGGCAAGATTCTCCTTTTGTTTCTTGATGTAAAAGGAATGAGAGCTGGGACGGTAGTGCACTCCTGTAACAGCAGTGCCTGGGAATCACAGGCAGGAGGAATGCTGTGAATTCAAGGCCAAAAAAAATCTTTCTCAAAAAGAAAACAGGACACTGACGATCACCCATCCTATAGTGTAACAAGGGGGAAATTGGTATGGCCAAGGCTGCACAGCCTATCCCCAAGAGAGCTGACACCCCACAGCTAGCCCCAAGCAGAAGGTATGGCAGCACTGGTTCCACTGAGCTGAGCTCACCTTTGCTTTGGAACAGGGATACTGGAACAGGTGAACTTTACAGAAATCATCAGCCACAGCTATCACCCTTCTGTTGTGGGATCGCACCAGTGCATTGATATCTGTCCCATCGGATCCTTCCGGCCACACACCTGGAGAAACGGGTGTATAAAATTAGCCTGAAACTGTAGCTGGTGCTTAGAAACTAGCCTTACCTCAGCCTGCTTAAAAAAAAATAGCTCCTTCGGACAAGTTAACAGTTCTGTAAAGAAAAGAAAGGCAGAGCCAGTAGAGGGGACTATACGCTCCTTTTTCAGGGAGTTGCCTTCATGAAACTGTTCTTATGAAGTACCTAGGCCAGACAGTGGTCTAGTGGGCTATCCCGCAGACCTGTGTTCAGAGGAGACACCAAATGCGCTGGGCTCTGAGGCATGGTCATCACTGTCCAGTGAACACGCCTCTTTGAGGCCAGGCTGACACTGTGGACACTTAGGGCTGAGGAGTTGGCCTCCTCTGGCTGGATCCTTCTCTGAGGAACTGCTACTCTTTTTGTGTATGAGTGCTTGCTTGCACATGGACATGCACAGCCCATGTGTGCCTGGTGACCACAGATGTCAGAAGAGGGAATCTGATCCCCCGGAAGAGAACAACCATGCGAGCCACAGTGGGTGAGTGGGAATCAAACAGGAGTCCTCTGGAGGAGTGGCCAGTGCTTTTAACTACTGATCTACCTTTCTAGCCTTAGGGACAAATTCATTTTTTGGGGAGATGGTAGGGGTGTGTGTGTGTGTGTTACATACATGTGAGTGCAGGGGCAGGTGAAGCCAGAGGACAATGTTGACAGTCTTATTTGATTGCTTTTTGCCTTGTTCTTTAAGATAGGGTCAGTCAGGCTAGGTGTGGTGGTGCACATCTTTAATCCCAGCATTTGGGAGGCAGAGGCAGTCGGATCTCTGTGAGTTCAAGGCCAGCCTGGTCTACAAAGTGAGTTCAGGACAGTCAAAGAGAAACCCTCAAACCAACCAACCAACCTCCAACCAATCAAAAAGACAGGGTCAGTGCTTGTGATTTATGCTGGAGAGAAGCAGCAGTTAAGCACTGGCTGTCCCTGCAGAGGACCCGGGTTGGGCCCTAATCCTGCACGGTGGTTTACAACCATCTCTAACTACAGTTCCAGAAGTTTCAATGTCTTCTGGCTCCCACAGGCATGCACACGGCACACTTATATGACCATACCCAGTTTTTTATGTTGGTGCTGGAAACTCAGACTCAGGTCTCTTCATGCTTACACACCAAGTGTGTGTACCCACAAAGCCATCTCCTTAGCTCCAGGGTCTCTTAGTAAAACCAAAGCTCAGATTCAGGTAGGCTGGCTGCCAACGACCTCCAGGAACCTGTCTCTACCTTTCCAATGGTGGGATTATAGGTGCGTGCTACTATACCTGGTCTTTACATGCTAGCTGGAAGTCTGAACTTAGGGCCTCATGCTTATGTTACAAGTACTTTGCCAAATAAGCCATCTCCTCAGCCCTATAGTCTCCCCCCGCCCCTTTTTTAAATGTATAGTCCAGACTGGCCTTGAACTTGTGATCCTCCTGCCTGTCTCCTTTAGCAAATCCTACTGGTGGTGCCACTACAACCGGCTAGTTCCCAAATTTTGTCTTCAAATAATATATGCTAAAAATACCTTAATATTTTTAAAAAGGCACTAGAATGACTGAATAACCACTAAAAAAAAAAGCAAGCAAGGGCACTAAGAAGCTGTAACTCTCCTAAACATGACCAGTGGGATGTATGGGACACACAGTTGTAGTTCCTCAAAAGCCACTGGGGTAGAGGGAGCGAGGAATAGTGACTAATGATAAAAGGTTTCTTTGAGAGGGAGGAAAATGTTGCAAGATCAAAGCACAAAAAGTTTTATGACTGTGGGTATAGAAAAACCCACTTACTAATTTGAAAGCTTCAATCCCCATGTGGGACATATTGGAAGTGTTTACCCTTTTGTGTCAACTTCTTTCCTTTGAGAGCAGAAGTTTAGGGTTCTGCAAAGAACAAGTCTCATATTGGTTCATTCAGTACATTTAATTTTTCTGAATCTGAAATTAAGGGCCTTACTATGTAGTCTTGGCTGGCCTCAAACTCTCACGAGATACTCCTACCTGTCTGCCTTCCAAACGCTGAGGTTAAAGGAGTGTGCCACCAAGCCTGGCTAATATCTTTCCTTTATCCATTTGCCTGGTAAACACGGTGTAGAAGAGGGTTCCACACAGTCTTCACATTAGCTGCAGCATTCTTACCAAAGACTTGGAAGCCTAGCACACAGGTGTACGTCGTCCAATCGATGTCCTTACAACCGGATCGGTTCCTGATTAGCTTGCAGCCATTCTCAATGTCCCCTTTAGAAATTCAGAAACACGAAGTATAATCATAGTACAAATATATTTGATAGTGCATCTTAATTCAAACTAGTCACATTTACTTGTATTTATAATCCATACACTCAAAAAACATTTAAGATATATTTAAAAAGGAAAAGAAAGTGTTTAACAGGAACTTGCAGAATTACAAAGTGTTTCCCATGGAAGTTCAATCTTCCTCTGAAAGCATAAAGGCTCACCCATAACATTCTCCCTGCCTCCAGGAAAAGCTGTTAAATGAAATCATTCAGAGCTGTATCAGTTTCACAGAAAGATTTCTCATGGCAACATCTGCTCAGTTCTACACTACTAAACTAATACACTGCTTTCTTGGAGAAGGGATCCACATGTGAGACTCATTATGTAGCCCGAGTACAGATGCTGTTAAGCTGGAGGCCAGCATGCACTCCTCACAGTTCATATTCTATGTAGCCTGTGTAGCAGTACTTGACAAACACATCTGCGCCCAACATATGATTGTTCATACTTACAGTACAATATCTCGTAGTCACCCGAGTTAGACATTATATGCTTATTGTCTGGGGACCAGTCAAGGTGTGTGATGTAGCTAGAATGTCCCTAAGAAAGATTAATAAAGAAAGCATTTAGAATTTTGAATGACAATGTAATACTTTACTAACAGTGTTTAATACCTACGTGCCAGGAATCCTAAGGGATGAGAGCATCGTGGCCTGTGGGACCAAAAGGACCCACAGCAGGTTCCTTAGTTCCTTTTACCCTGTACTGTTAGAAGCTTTGGATGCAGGACAAGAATGAGTGACAGAACAGTTTGGGCAGGACTGTGGTGCTCAAGGGGCTGCACCCTATAGGAATACTACCAACTGCTTAGAACCTGGGTGACACCTGCTGGCTTCTCTCCCCACACCAGAAACAAGCACCTACTACCCCTACCCCTGCTAGGAATTCCAAGGACTCTTTAAACTCCCATCTCAGAGAGGACGCTGCACTCCCAGGCCTGCCTTTAACTCACTCATCCTATGTCCCTATTAGAGGGACACCAGTCTTGATAATGGCGTTTCTGTCACAGATTATGTACACAGAAGTTTTCCTGGGCTGTACATAAATAGTCAAAATGGAACTTTCCTAGGAAAATTCCTGTCTCTGAAGAATGTTCTGGGTAGGGGAAAGTGACCCAACACTGCATTCCTGCAGAACAGCTGGACCCAAGTTAATCATCTGACTTTGCAAGATTTTCCTTAAATAGGAAAATGGTAATATTTTGCTGCTTGGCATTTATGAACACTGGAAATTAAAACAACAACAAAAACTACTAAAACAACAACAAAACTACAAAATGCCTTTTAGCTTTACATGTAAGCATTAATGAATCCCAATAAACCATTTCAGATAAGTCATGCAGGCCTTATGACTTATTGAAGCTGACAGACACAAACTCTACTTGTTTCATATAGCCAAATTTTGTACTTGTGGAATTAAAAGCTCCTTGCTTACATTGTTTTAGGTTAATAAAGTCAATGTGTCTCAGATGCAGGCTTTTCTTTTTGTTTGGTTTTTTGACACAGAGTTTCTCTGTGTAGCCTTGGCTGTCCTGGAACTCACAGAGATCCACCCACTTCCGCCCCTCGAGTGCTGGGATTAAAGGCAATGTGCCACCACACCTGGCTCAGATGCAGTTTTTTAATGATTCATAATCTTCTTAATTATTCCACTCTCCTCCCGAAGCCTAATTAAATTATGTCCCAAACTCCTCCTGGACCCATGACCTCCCTCAGAGCACTGCAGATCAATATATGTATGTTTAAGTGAATTAAACTGCGGGAGTTCAAGAACATTCTGAATAATAGAGACTGTAGGTTATGTTGGAACACAGCTTGGGGAATCACTTGCAGTTGAGAACATTACCAACAAGAGACCACTGTTTAAAGTCAGATTGTATTTCTGAATGTTCACACAGACAGGCTAACATACTATGTATAGATGAGTGGTGTCTAGCCCCACTGTCTGGAGATTACGTGGATTACTCACGGCAATGCACACTCTTCTAAGAGTTTAATTTATCCTGATGTACATGTTCTTTGCACGTTAGCTGCACCTCTAGAAGAGCATGAAAAGCACTATGCATCTACATGATACTTAAGTCGTAACAGTGGACACAGAATGTGTTCCGAAGGCCAATCAATGCAAATTGCCCTCAAAGACTTATCTGAGGGAAGTTTTGACTCACACAGAAAAACAGAATGATTGGTAGCAATGTCAACAACAAGCACAGGGGTAAAATGCATACACACACCCAGGTGCTACAACAGTGTCCTTTCCCTCCCTACTTATGGTCTCAGAGACAGAATGGGATGAGCATCCCTATTCTGAAAGCTTGACACCTGAATGCTGACAAGATTCAAAAGGCTAAGGATTTGAAGCTCAAGTGGGTGATATCTATGCAGATATCCCCAAATCCAAAACCAAGTGCTTCTGAGTCAAAGCACTTCATGGAGGATTCTTAACTTGTGCACACACAGAATGGGAAAAGCGTCATGCTTCACCTCAAGGGACAAGCATAATGGCACAGAATCACTTAACACCTTGAAAAGAAATTTTAAAACAGTATTCCAAGCTGGTACTTCCATTCCTGCCATTTGGTAACCAGATGGTGTAACCACAATGCTAATCACAAAGAAGATGAACAGTACCCTGAGAAAAACCATGAACATTCAGGTATGGCGTTGTACGGAATACTGACTCTTAAATATCAGTGATTTGCAGCTGATTTAAAGTTACCTAAGGAGTTAATTATCAAGGGATATAACGAAAACATTTCAAAACCTAGATTGTGTGGCTTAACTTTTCCCTGAGTGGCCATCTCTAGTGGATTCATCCTATGGAAATGTCTACAGTAACAAAAATGTTCTGTTATTCTGGTGGTCATAATCACCTGTGGTTTCTAAGTAGCCAAGTTGTAGCTGGTGTTCCCAGGACAGTGATCTGTGTTGAATGGCGCATGTGTGGTGGCGCATGCCTATAATCCCAGAACTCTGTGAGGCTGAGGCAGGTGGATATCTGTGAGTTCGAGGCCAGCCTGGTCTACAAAGTGAGTAGACTATATAGAGAAAACCTGCCTCAAAAAAAAAAAAACAAAACAAAAAAACAAAACAAAACAAAAAAACCCAAAAAAACAGAAACAAAAAGATAGGGGGAAAAACCCATTATGAACAGAAAGTTTGGCCAGTAAATGCCATACTTGATTAATGAGGGCCAAGATTTGTTAATTCTTTTTCTACTATTTGAAAAGTTCTTCTTATTATTTAGTGAGATGTGGGTCTGTTTCTGGACTCTAGTCTGTCTCTTTCCAACCAACTATGATAATTCTGCAGAATGTGGACAGTTTCAGATGAATGTCAGAGCTTTTCTCAAGCCCATAAAATCATGAGGAAAAATTACAGCTGCATCCCATTTAGAGAAGAGTTTGCAGGGAACAAAGTGGCCCACGGTGATTTTTCTCTAGACAAAGACCATGCGTCCCTGGGCTCTTAGTCTGTGTCATCTTGGGGTCTCACACAGCTTCCTCTGCTTGCTGTTTCTTCTCAACATTAGAAGTCGTGTCCCCCCCCCCCCCCCCCCTCGCAGAGATTAAGCCTAGAGTCTTCCCAAACTTTTTAGTCTGACAGGTTTTCTTTAGGAAGCCTTGGCTGTTCTGGACTCACTTTGTAGACCAGGCTAGCCTTGAACTCACAGAGCTCCTTCTCCCACGTGCTGGGATTACAGGCTTGTGCCACAATGCCTGACTAACTTTACTTCTGGCAACATTCTCACTAAGTTACTTGGGCTAGTCTTCATCTGAGCATTCTCCTGCCGCAGCCTCTAAAGTATCTGGGATGACAGGCATGTATCACCATGACCCTTCTCATGTAGTTTTTGTTGCTATTTCCTCTTACTCTATTTAAGAAATAGCTTTTGCCCCTCTCCCCTAAAAAGAAGCCAGGGCTGGTGATACACACGCCTTTAATCTCAGCACTTGGGAGGCAGAGGCCGAGGCCGAGGCAGGAGGATCTCTGAGCTCCAGGACGGCCAGACAGAAAAAAGAAAGAAAATTCTGCTAGTTTAATCAAGCCTAGCACATTGCAGTATACACCAGCAGTGCCTATTCAACATCACTTGACCAGATACCCAGCTAAAACATGGTCTTTCCCAAGTTTCCATGCAGCTCCGGGTGATAGGTGGACTTGGTGGGGACTGACTTTGTTTGTTTTTTGTATCCTTTCTGCTTAGAAGTATGTGATGCCACGTGGTGGCTGAAGTTTGTGCGGTGCATAAAATGACACTAGGTATGGAGAGAGCACACGAAGGAGATGCAGTGGGAGGAAGAAGACTACTGTGTGGGAGGGAGGTGCTGGAGCAAACCCAGGGCCTGGCACACACTAGGCCAGCTTTCTGCCACTGTTCTCAATCCCAGTAAGATGGCCTCTTTAAGAGGAGGCCTTATCGCTACTTCAGTTTTTGTTTGCTTTTTCAAGACAGGGTTTCTCTGTGTAGTCCTGGCTGTCCTGGAACTCTGTATACCAGGTTGGCCTCAAACTCAGACCTACTTGCCTCTGCTTCCCAAGTGTTGGCACTAAAGGTGTGTGCCACCAGTGCCTGGCAATATCACTAATTTTTAAAGCCAGGAGAGTACTGTGAATAATCTGCTAGAGTACTATCAAAGCACATCCCTCTATTGAAATCTGAGTTAGTTTATGGTTTATTTTCTTTGAGATTTCTAGGAAGTTTAGACACAAAACCAATGGACACCCAATGGTCTACAATACAATGAATTAAATAACACTAAAAATGTTTTGAAAAGTGAAAAGGTATTCTGTTTAATGGCTTCTAGTTTAAGAACACTCATATTTTGTTTCTGGAATGACAAACATTGTGTGGGAAGGGTTAAAAATGTGAGAAAATAAGCCATATGGGAAAGAGGATTTCCCATATCTCAGCTTCTAAGGTCTGACCCAGTACACCTTCTCACAGCTGGAGACCAGCTCATTCAAGCACTTGCAGGGCGAGTAAGTGAATTGGGTTAGTGTGGTCAGAACAAGGGACTGTGATAAATGAACCTTTGGTAAAGTTTTTCACTTGGTTAAAATAAACGAAATGAAGCTGAACAGCTAATGCTCTCTTCAATACTTTCATGTCACAGTTTTCAAGTCTAAATGTCAATATTCTCATCCTTCAGAGATAACTGAAGAACCTAGAAGAGGGACTAAACCGGAACTGTCTAAATTTAGAATTTGTGTAAAAAGATAAGGATAAACATGAGTACATTATGACCACTCTTGAGACTGCAGTGTTTCTAATAACACAGGAAACTATGTTCTAGACCTGCCATGATGGCAAGACAACCAAGTTATGTCGGTTACTGTGAGCTTCCTCATCTGCAATAAGCAAGTGCCCACCACTGCAGCCAGCCAGACAGCGATTCTGATCTCATCTCTGCACAGCGGTGCACAGTTGTAATCCCAGTTCACAGGAGGCTGAGGCCAGCCTGGGTCACACAGTAAGATCCTGCCTCAAAACAACCAACAGAGAAAACACCGATAGCTCAGTGGGTATAAAGGTGCTTGCCATGCGACCTATGTTCCAGTACTGGAAGCCATGTGCACTGTGGCATATGCACTCTCTCACACAAATCCTATATATAGTAATAAAACAATTTGCAGCCTCCTAGAGTAAACTTTAGTGAACTTTTAAAAAAATTCTTCATGGTGAAGTATTTTTTCTTTTTTCATTTGTATGTGTGCATGCACGTGTTCACGTATGTGCATACATATACATGGAGACCAGGAAACAACCTCACACGTCCTCACTGGTCTGGAACGCACCAGATAGGCTAGGCTGGCTGGCAGTGAATTCCAGTGCTCTGCCATTCTCTGCTTCCCCTGTGCTGGGATTACAACCCAGCCCATGCTCCAACTGAGGTCCTCAAGTGTGCAAGGTTAACTCTGTCCCACATGAGCTATCTCCTACCCTCAGTGGAATATCTCATTTTATTTATTTATTTTTAGATATTATTCCATACTGCAGACATTAAGTTGATAAATTACTTAAAAGATGTTAATAATGGTTTGTAATTTTTCTTAATGGAAACAAAAATTTTTGTTGTTGTTGTTGAGTTCCATAAATAACTCAGATTGCTTGTAAACCAGTTTATAAATGGACTGGTTTGAGTGTATATGTTACAAAACATACAGAGCAGCAATAAAAAAAAAAAAAAAAAAAAAAAAGCTATCTTCTCAAACAGTTAAGTTTTTGCTTATAGAAGCTCAACATTTTTGTTTTCTTTTGAGACAATGTCATCATGTAGACTTGGCTGGTCTCAAACTTATGAACAAAGTTCCTGCCTCTGCCTCCAGAATGCTAAGAATACAGGTCTGTGCCACCAAGATTAGCCAAACTGAAAACTCCTAATGTAAATATCTAAAATGCCTCAAAATCTAAAACATTATAATCCCCTATGATAGGCGGGTCAACACACACGTGTACAAAGTTACACACTGTAGAGTTGCCACTAGCCTATGTGCATAACAAACTGAATTAGGGTTTTTACTTCAGTCTGGGCTTAAGTGCTCTTACTATGAATACACAAATATCCCCAAAGCCAAAAGAAAAAACAAGCAAACAAGCAACTGATATCTGAAACACTTCTGGTCCCAAGCATTTTGAATAAAGAATATTCAATCAGCTAGACAGGCATGGTGGTGTACATTTTTAATCCCAGTACCCAGGAGGCAGGTAGAGTGCTGTGAGTTCAAGGCCAGCTTGGCCTACAAAGTGAGTCCAGGACAGTCAAGGCTACACAGAGAAACCTTGGCACACAAGTGAACTATTTTATCAAAACTATCAAAGGATTTGTGCCACCATACGAATTCATCATGTCATTTGATAATTTTGAATAATTTCCTAACGTACAAGGTAAATTACTTCATTTTGTTTGAAAATATGCACATTTATTGAGTATAAAGCCAAGCAACAGCTTCAGTTCTTTATGTACATTCACTTTTTTCTTTCTTTTGTGTGTGGTGTTGTGTATGTGTGCCTGCAGGCCCGAGAACACTTCGAGGATACCTGTCTGCCTTGTCCCTTGAGACAGGGTCTGTCATTTAAGCTGGAACTAGACTGTAAGTCAGGGCATCCAAGTGACTGTGCAGTCTCTACCCCACAGTGCTGAGTTACAGGCAGCGTTTATGGGTGTGCTGGCAATTCAAACTCAGTCCTCCTGCTTGCACAGTAAACACTTGCTTTACTGAGCCATGTCCTCTGCCCTGAATTAGCTTCTTCTAATTCTGTGAAGTAGAAACTACTATTACCCTGACTTTGTAAGTGAGAAGACCAAAACAAAAGGTCAGAGTAACCTGCTCAAGGCCACAGTCTTGTACAGGTGACTAAAGACCATGTCAGGGTCTGATGCAGCTTGTCTGTCCCTACCACGGCTCCATTACCTACTCTTCTTATCCCGTGTGGGACTGAACCTAGGGCCTCAGACTCGCTTGCTAGTGCTCTCCCAGTGAGCTACAGTGCCCCTTCAGCTATACTTATTGTTGGTAGTATGTTTGTTTCCTTTTTGGCTCTTGTCTGTGAATTCCCAACTTGTAGTGACCCTTGCTTTCAAGTCTGACTCTTGAATGCTGGGGTTATAGATGTGCCATCAAGCCTGGCAACTGTACTTCCTGAGAACAAAGGAACACATCTTCCAAAGGCTCCTGGTGGCTGAAGCCATTTCACTGGTTTGAGCAGCTCCTACCAAAAAGTCAGCATGAGTCTGTTGATGATACACAGAATTTAATCTTCATCTTATAAAGATGACCTCTAGTTTATGGGAATAGGTTTCTGTTAACTGTCTTAAATGCAGACATCTCTCAAGTTATCTTACTTTAGGGGCAGACTGGTGACATAGGATATTGTGGGGTATTAGGCTAGACAAAGATATGGTACACTGAGATTAAGTTTCCCATAACTAACTGTGATGATACTCACCTTTAATCCCAGCACTCCCGAGAGAGAGGCAGGCAGGCTGTTGTGAGTGTGAGGCCAGCCTGGTCTACACAGTAAGTTCAAGGACAGCGAGGGTTACACAGAGACTGTGTACCAAATGTTAAGCAAACTGCCTTAATACTAGTTAGAGGGAGACAAAAGCTGTGCTCAAATGTAAGGGAGATAGGTATCTTTCCAACACACACAGGCAACTGTGCTCTTCAGTTACATAGTAACAATTTTCTTTCTAAAAAAGATTTAATTATATGTATGTGTGTGGGTATGTGCAGTCTACAGAGGGTGTTACAGGTGGTTGAGAACAGCTCAATGTGAGTGCTGGCAACCAAAATCAGACCCTCTGCAAGAGCAGCACTCCTTAGCACTGAGCATCTTTCCAGGTCTCCCACCCCTTTTCAGATAGGGTCTCATGTAGCCTAGGCTGGTCTCAAACTTATATATCTGGGGACGACCCTGAATACTGATGCTCCTGCCTCCATATGCAAAGAGTTGGGATCACAGTTGTGTGCCACCATATCCAGTTTATGAGGTCCTGGGGATTGAGGCAAGGGACTCATGTAAGCAGCTAGCCGAAAAAAAAAAAACAAAAAAAAAAAAAACAGCTATCAATGTGAACATTTAATTCTTCTCGTAACAATACAATTTCTCAATCACTGTGTAACTCAGGTCATTTGACTTTGCTACTTACAGTGCACTTTCCGTATCTACTATATTTCCTTCCATTTTCTGAGACTGCGTAGAGGTAAATAAAGTTGTCATGAGATCCTACAGCGAGGAGAGTACCATCTAGAATTAAACAGAAAAAAGTGCTGATTGGAAAATGTATGTATTGTTACCTTATATTAAATAATATACTAAAAATGCTAAAATTCATCAATTTAATTATTATTTGGCATTTTATAAACAAAGCTTACCAATTAACACCCCCTGAAATCAAATGGTAGCCCTAGTCCAGCAAAGAGTCCCTCCTTGGAGAAAGTCTCTAGCTGTGTCCCCTTAGCAGCTATAGGCTGATCTCAGAGAAATCTCCCTGCGTTGACTGTTGGAAGTGAGTAAGGTTCACATGGTAAGCTAAGCTCGTTCAGCTCCATAGCTGGCAAGCACATCTGATCTCACCAATTACAGGTGGGTTTTCTTAGGAGGGAAATACACTACATTCTCCAGTTCTGTAGTATCTTTGATTGTATCTACCCCTATGCCAAGCATATAACAACTGGTGAGAGTACACTGATCTTTTGATTTTTTAAATGCTACATTTTGTAGTGGTTGTTATTCTAGCATTAAAGACAAATTAATACAAACAAAACAGAAAATACTGCTGTTTCAAAATGTCTTTTTTTTTGTGGCAGGCAAGATGGGTCAAAAGTGAAAAGTTCACGCTGCCAACCCCGATGACTGGCATTCCCTCCTAGGAACCATGAGGTAGAAGGATAGAACCATCCAACAAAAGCCGTCCTCTACACGTGCACACACAAATATGTGTAAAAAAACAAGCACCTAAACAACCACAGAAATCAAACTAACTCTTTCTAGGTCTTGCATCTTAGTATACATACATTTCTTTTTCTTTATTCAGAGGAAAATATTCTGTGCAGAAGAATTTGAAATAAAGAAGCTACCAAATTTTTATTTTTAGCCTTAATTCAACAGCTATTAGAGTATACTTGCAGGGCTGAAGTTGTAGGTCAGTGATGAAGTGTTTGTCTTCCATGTGCATGGAGGCCTAGTTTCAACCCCTAGCATTACAAAAACAAAACGAACCAACCCGAAATGCTCAAATACAAAAAATTCCAGGTGTGGTGGTGCACGCCTATAATCTCAGTTCTTCCACAGTTGAGGCAGGAGAATTGTGAGTTTTGGGCCAGTTTGGGAAAGACAATGCCTCAAAAAAGTCAAACTAACTCTAGAAAATAATGATACACATCAAACCACATAAATAACAACAAAACAAATAAGTGGAATATTATGGAAACTTAACATTTTGAATAAAGTATACAAAGGTCTACTCAAACCTGAATGAAGTTATATGAAATTCTTATAATGGATTACTATGTATTTTATCTAATAACCAACAATTATGGTTATGTAACTCAAGCATAAAGAAGTGTGTGCTTTGGATACTAGTGTGTATTCTGCCTATTTCTTCTACAATTTTTCGGCAATGCCAAGAACTGAAGCTAAGGAGTATGTGATGGGCAAATGTTCTACCACTGAACTCCATTCTCTACTGCTTATACCCTTTATATACAAAGAAAAGGTTGCCAATTAGATGCAATATTCAGCTTGGTATACAAAAATTCTACTGTATGTAGTATGATTTGATTGCACTTTATAGTCTCTAACTGCAAGTGCAGTTGTCACAGTTCATTGTAAATTTACACATGCTTGATGCTGTTTAATTTTTGCAGATTTCTTAGTTTTCAGTAGTAAATTTGGCCTGCCGTTCAGGCGGCTCTCCAACTCTTGAAAACAGAGGAGTAAACTTCATCAACAAGTAAGCATGTGGCTTCAGCGAGTGTAGCGCCTATCAAATGGGAGAGGAAGTCTGCCCACCGACTGAGTAGCGCATCACAGAGAGCTGCTCGTTCCCATCCGTGTGGATTGACACTAAATCTCTTGTTTCTGCATCTAGAACAAACCACCTGTTATGAAAGAGAAAACAGAAAAGAAAAACCACCTTGGGCATTAACATTTACAGGAAAAAGTAGTTGACTTTTTCTACACTTTTAATTTTAAAACTGTCAACATTAATATTTTAACTACAACCATGTATCTTTCTTCTAATCAACGTTCAATTTATTTTTCAAAAGAATGTTGCAAGATAGACATGGACCTAGTTGCAGTTTCATTTCTTAGGAATTCAATGAATGTCAACTGTACCTCTGCTAAGCATTGTTTAGACAGAAAAATAAGATGACAGGGTCAGGTTTTTCAAGATTTTTACTAAAGACAAAGGAGCAAATGAGGCAATGGAAAAAAGAGTGACTATAAGGTAATCCCACGGATGGCCAGTCAACAAAATGCACAGAAGAAATAAGGCAGCAGCCATAGAAGAACCTTTAAGGATGATGGAGGACGCAGCATGAAGGGAACACTAAGAGAAGTTAGGAGAAATAACAGTTGCAAAGCGAGGGAGGTAGGCAGGAACACGGACACATTCATGAATGAATTTCAGTTATTTTGAGAGAGGCTGAAATTTCTCCACAGCTAATTTAACTCATAAACTCTCATCTGACAGCCTCCACAGACACTTGAGGTTAAAGGCCAATCAGTAGGAAGCTGGCACACGGAAGCCATATGGTCCATGTTTACTGACATACGTTGGTGCAACTGAGAGTGCCCACAGACTGCAGGTTTGTTTTTAACTGTTATTCATCAATCTTCAGGCTACCACTGTAAGCACTGAGAACTAATTTTTCAAAAAGGGAACAAAAATGGTATCAAAACTAAGACTACAGAGCTACAGGAATATCAGGCTTCAAGTTCTTTATACTTTATTATATCCTTATATATTTAAAATTAATAATTTTAAAAATTGGCAAACCCCTAATATTAAGACTATCTCTAAGTCATTTTAATTTTCCTAGGAAAACTACATACAGCTTTTATCTCTTTGGAAGCAACCTTAGCAAGCAGCAAAGCCCAGACTATTTTTTCATGTGTAGAAACTTACACTGGTTATAGATAAACAGTTACTTAAAAATTAAAGATAAACTTTATGTATTTTCTGTTTCCTTAAATACACAGCAGATTAATTCTATTTTGGGAATGAGGTTTTTATTTTTTATTTTAATTTTTCAATTTTTCCTGTGTGTGGAACCCATAAGCTGATATACGGGGTATTCACTGAGACAGGGTCTCTCGCTGGACCCAGCAGCTTGTAGATTCAGCAATCCTAGCTAGCTAGCTTGTTTCCACCTCCTGAGTGCTGGGCTGAGAGGCTGGATGTCACGACTAACTCCACTCATGCATAACTCCTTCAGCATCAAGAGCATTACCTACTGAGTCCCCTCCCTGGCAGATCATTTTTCATAGGAAGTCAGTGAGGTGGTTATGATTTTGTATGATTTCCCTGCAGATGTGCAGCAATGCTGGGAGCTCTCACCTGTCACTGCATGGACTGCATTCTTTCAGAAGTCACCTTCGTGGCTGGAATCTCTGTCCTTAATCATTTTCACATTGTACTTAATCACTTCTCACTCTAGAGTATGTATGTTAGAACAAAGCTTCTATTTGGGAGTAATATGCCATCACCATGAGGCTCCGTGTGGCCTAAAGGACCAAATAAACTTTTCTAAATGTAATGGCCATCAGGGATGGGAATCTTCTGTTATAGACTAAGCTGACTTGTGAACCAAGTACCAACAAGTAGCACCATCCTTCCTCATGATGACTTGTGTGTGACATCTCATATAACCCAGGATAGCTTTGAACTTGCTATATGGCCAAGGCTGACCCTGAACTCCTGATCCTCTTACCTTCACCCTTCAAATTCTAGGACCACAGTGCCACCATGCCTGGTATATAATTTTATATTTTAGTGACAGTGCACGCACGTACACACACACATATATACACACACACTTCAGAGCTAGAACTACCTTGATGCCCCTAAATAAATGTTCTCTTTTCCTTTAGAAAACTAGGTGTTCAAGATAGTATCTTTGAATAAAGTGCGTCCTATAGTCTTGCTTAAAAAAAAAAAAAATCCTTTGGATAAAACAAACAAACAGGAATGTTGGGGTTTGAGAGACAATGAAGTGGTAAAGGGTACATGCTACTTTTCTAGAAGACCCAAGTTTGGTTCCTAGTGCCAATGCTGGGTAGCTCATTCACCTGTTACACAGCTACAGGGTACCTGACACTTTTATCTGGCCTCCATGATGATCACACACACGGAACACACGCAGAGACAGACAGACACATGCATGAAAATAAAAATTAAAAGAAATGTTACTTTTATAATTAGAAAAATGTAAAGCCAAAAAGAAGAAAAGCCCAAGTACACTAATCTTTATCCGATAAAAAAACTTCTTACCACTCAGTAATTCACAAGTGAAAACAGAACTTAAATCTACATTTTGCTTAGAATGATAAATAAGTAGCTAACGCAAATGTAAACACGCCAATAAGCTATTTCACACTCACTTGGGTGACCATAAAGAAAACAGGTAAGAAGATGCTGTAAACATGGGGAGAAACTGGAGCCCGTATAGACTGCTGGTTGAACTGTGAATGGTACAGTTGATGTACAAAAGTTGGTCTAAAAATCAGACAGAATTATATGACCTGGTGAGTCTACTACATAGACACACAAGACAACTGAAAGCATACTCCCACACCAAACCTTGTACACTAATGTTTGTAGCAGGATTATTCCACCGTCAAAAGTGCAAAGCCAAACGCCAATTTGTTATCTAAGGTAGTATATCCACACATTGAAATACGATCTGGCCATAAAAAGTATAAAGTCCTATAACTGAAGTGATAAACCTCGAAAACATTACATTACATGAAAGAAGCCAGTCATAGGCATGCCTGTGTGACTCCATTTACATGAAATGTCCAGAACAGGCAAACCTATAGGAAAAGATTGATCAGCTGCCTACAGCTGAAAACGGCAATAGGCAGTGTGGAGAAACTGCCATTACTGGGTAAAGAATTTCTTTTTGGGTTAATGAAAATGGTCTGAAATTATATCACACCATTCTATGATTGTACTATAATTATTAGATCATATAATCAGGTGAACTTTATGTTAGATTATATCTTAATAAAACTGAACAGTGGTAATTATGCCTACTTATGGCTATGCACTCAATTTTTCCCCTTAAAAATGATAAATACATTCTTTGGACATGTATAGTGCACTTGTCCAGCATACAAGGGCCTGGGTTCAAGTCCCAGACACCACACACACCATCCACTCTTTTAAAAATGACTATTTTATCGTTGAGAATTTATTTGCTCTTGTGCTCATATATGGAAATACAGTATTATAAAACTGACTAGAATTTTTGTTGGACCTCACAGCTGAGTTAATAATATAACCCTAGATCACTTAAGACTTGATCCTACTATCCTAATGTGTATTCAGCCTGATTAACGTGCCTTAAAAAAAAAAAAAAAAAAAGCAATGTGGGCTGGAGAGATGGTTCAGAGGTAAAGAGCACTGGTTGCTCTTCCAGAGGTCCTGAGAGGACCTCAATTCCATAAACCACAGGGTGGCTCCCAACCATCTACGAGATCTGGTGCCCTCTTCTGGTGTGCAGTTGTACATGCAGGCAGAACACTGTACACATAATTAAGTAAATCTTAAGACAAAACAAAACGAACAATGTAACTTGCCTTGAATTTCCCACATAATCAACCTAGGCCAGTGCACAGCCTTTACATTTTCCATGGCCCTCACCCAGAACAGTATGTGTTTGTCTGTATGTGTATTTTGATAATCATTTGCTGAGAACAGCAAATAAAATGCAAATGAAAGTATACAATAAATGTGTGCCACTAAGGTTTCATTCCTCCTCCAGTGATGTTTTTTCTTTGCTGTTCAGTACATACAGAGCAAAAACCCTGCTAGAGACGAGACAAGACAGACATCAGACAGGCACAGGTGTACAGACTCAAGACTCATACAAGAGACTGCTTATAGCTAGGCCAAAACCTAAAAGCTACAGAGAAGGAAGACACCAGGGAGAGAAGTAGAGGACTGAAACTCAATTCTCAATTAAACTCTAAGAAGTGTTTTGATTTCTTTCCTTAATGCAACACTAATGCATATTGGTGACTCTGAATTAATCATTTAATGCACTTATTACTTGGTGACATGATGCAGAAATCTATGCGTGGACCCAGACACATCCCTAAACATATTACTGGCTCCTGTACAATTTGGACATGTTTTACAATAAACTAGTTCCTAGCCCTAAATGTGACTTTCCTCCAGGTGTGAAAGTGAAGTGGCTGTAATCTGAATGGCTAAAGTACTAACTTTGCAGCTCTAGACAGTAAAGTTAAGTGTTTACAGACCAAAGGAAAAATAAAAACAAATGGAAGGTCCATGAATCAAAAGCACGAAACCAGGTGTGAAACCCAACACAGTTCTATCTAAAACAAGCAATGACAACTGCATCTGCCTGGGATTCTAAGTAGTCTCTAACTCTACAGCAGATGGAACAGACGAACTGCCAACACTACTTATGTAGTTACTATATTCATCTCATTATGTGTTTCATACTCATAACTTCAAGAGGTAATTGCTACCTTACCTTTATAGTAAATCACTGAGACTGAGTGACTTCATGTCCACACAGATGTTAGAGAGTAATTTCAGTGATTTTCAACCAGATCATTTTTATTTTTTACATTTATTTAATGTATGTGTGGGGAGTAGGGGCACACATGCCCTGGCACGTATGTGGAGGTCAGAGGACAACTTTCAGGAGTTGGCTCTTTTGATTCCAGGGACTGAATGGTCAGTGTTGGTGGCAAGCACTTTACTACTGAGCCATCTCTTAGCTAACCAATCAGAGCGATAAAAACAAACCAAAACAAAACACACCAGGGCCGTGTGAGTATGTGTTTTGATGCCTTCATTTATTCAGTGTTCAAAGCCCTCTATCCTTACACTTCATTCCATGCTCAGTAAAGGATAACCGCATGAGCACGGCCGGAGCACTGCACGTGCTACAAATGAGACTCCGACGCCCACCATGTCAGATCATCCAGCTCTCTTAGAGGCCTACCTGCCCGAGTGTGTTCCGATGGCCACCACTGTACCGCTTGGATGGAAGTCCGCACAGTGGCCTGGTTCCTAGAAAAGAAAAGGACAGACACTGGGGCAGAGAATAAAAGCTCCTAGGTTTAAGGGAACCGTAAAAAAAATAAAAAATATAACAATAATAATAATTCTTTCAAAATAAACTATTTCATATAATCATGAAATCTGGTCAGCTCTACTGTAAACCAATGAAAAATGCTACATGAACACAACTGGACTAACAGGCAAAGGGACAAAATAATCGGTTTGTGGCCAGGCAGTGAAACAGTACAGATTAACACCAAACATATTAAGAAATACTTTTAAGAAAAGTAGTATCTGGATACAGTAGGGAGAAAATGCAAGGCCCCTCACAAAGAAGACAGTAGAGTGCACTGGGGTATTTACTGAATCCAAGGCCCAAATATTCCAGAATTAATATTCCACAAATACATGAACTCTGTAACTTTACCACTGAAACTGAGAGAAAATTACATGGCTATCTTTCTTCTTTAATGTGGGTTCACAATGTAACTGAGAGCAAACATTTCCCTGTTACTCTCAGCCCCTTCACCAAACCATAAACACACATTTAAGTCAATGCTTAATCCTCTTTTCTTGGATGCTTTCAGCTGCTAGTGGGAAGAGTTTGTGTGGAGAAATTATCCACTCACATCCACAAGCCTGGTCCACTCCAGTCTGTGCTCCACCGAGTTCCACATGCACACCTGCCTGTCCTGAGCACACGTCAAGAGCAAATCCTTGAAAGGATGTGTCGCGAGGCCCCAGAGTTCATCTGTATGACCCTGGGAATGAAAAACTTGTTTTAAGAACCAACGGGTATAACCAAGAAATAATGTAGAAATTGTTGGCATCAAACAGCTTACCTGTACTTCTATTTGGAAGCCATCATTAAATGTTCCCCGTAAAATAAAGTTTCGTGATGTACCTACTAAAAATTGTTCTGCCTTTCCTTCTGCAACAGCTCTAATTGTGCCGTACTGATCAGGAACCTGAAACAAATGAATGAGTGAAGTTCCCATAAACAGAGTAACGTGCAGTAATTACTACCTGAATACTGCTGTGCTCACAGCTGTGCAGTTACTGGGTAATAAAGACAGATTCTAAATCTTAAACAATGTGGCAGTCTCATCATATTGTAATTTAATGTTCAATTACATTTTATTACATGGAAGTTAATGTATTATTAACATTCTTTCTCTCATTTGTAGTAATTATCTTTGCAGTATAGGCTCTCCCACATACTATACAAGCTTCTTACAGTGATGTCATTTGCAGCCCACTTCAGTGAAATTTACATTTATATCCTGTATGACTCCAGGAGTTACAGTGGGAAAAGGGAGTCAGTTCAGTTGAAGCTTGTGAAGATTATGGTCTGGGTTTTGTTTCATGTTCTTCTGGGTAAGTGACTGAGCCTAAGACAATTCATTTCTCTGTGACAGGGGTTAATACATTCATTCCCTATTCATTCTTGATTGTTACAAGGACCAAAAGATAAAAATCCCAATAGATCAAAAAACACAGTTGGCCTTTTTATCTGTAGACACTGCATCCAAGTATTAAACCAAATATAGAGTGAAAATAGTCCATACTGTATACTCAGACCCTTCATAGCCCGTCATTAGTTCCTATACAATTCAGTAAAACATTCCCATAGCAATCACACTGAATCAGGTGCGGTAAGTAATATACAGATAATTCAAAGTGTAAATACATAGAAATACTTGACTGCTCTAGGTAAGGTACTTGAGCACCCACAGATCTGGCATCAATTGGGGAGACTGGCAACCTCTTCCTTAAAGATATGAAGGGATGACTTAATTGTAAAGTATTTTAAAGGCCATTCATGGCCCCCTTGTGAGACCCATTTCACTTACACACTATGTGATATACTCTCAGTGACCTTTACACCAATAACTATAATGACCCCAGAGAATGACTCTGAAATGGTGCATTTCTTCTTCATGAAGGTGCTCCAAAATGCCTCTGCTCATACAGTGTTTTCCTAGCCTGCATCAGCCCGAGTTCAATTTCCTGCATTTCAAAATAAATAAAACCCTCAAACTCTAAATTATTTTGGAACAATTACTCTGCGCCATAGCAAACACTATGAAATGAAGGGGAATGAAAGGTAAGAGTGTATATCATTTTTCCAGAAAAGCTATCTCCAAACGGGACAAAATACATGAGTAGAGGTTTTACTATTTTAAGATTTTTAGGGTTCCAGCCTTACCTCAATTTCTCTTTCAGGGTTCAGGTCATGATCCCACAAGATTATTTTTCTGTCTTTCCCACCTCCAGTTAATAGCATCCCATTTCTCATCTGACAAAGTGTGAACACACTGCCATCGTGAGCTTTGATTTGTCTGTTGATCTGATAGACACCTAATATGGTAAGGGAAAATAAAAACAATAGTATTACTATTACAAATCTTGTTAGACTTTAGTGTATTTTTGGAGAACAGCTTTAGCAAAACCACAGGGTATATACGCAGAAATTTCACAGCTTCATAATAAAAAACCTATTCTCAGCAAGTTATAGAAACATGGCATATTGAGAGACTGAAGACAATCTACCCCTTCATAATTTAAGTCAATGTTTACTCTTAAAAGCAGTAAGCTGCTAACACAATGACAACTGCCTGACAACGGGGTAGTAAGTGTGTCTTGGCATCACATCTCACTGCCATCTCTGGGATAGTCTGTGCAGTATTAGAGTGGTGGCAGCGTTCCGACTGTAGAGGAAGGACAGAATTATGAGGGTCACATATACAATACCAGTTACTGATAAAGGCAGTTATTGTAACCTCAATGTCTCCCACCTCAGTGTCCCTGGGAGCTTTGCCAAAGCTTTTACTAGCTCAGTCCATAACAATCACTAATAAACATTGAATTATTCCTTTTAATCTGCTGATAAACAAAAGAAATTACATCATCCAAGCCTTCTAATCTGGAGTCCAGAACACTTACTCAGAGAAGGGTTCTAGCAATCAAATGAGGCCAGTGAGGCAAGAAGACAGCTTTTGGAAGATAATGCCTTACAGAATTAGTTATGAGGTTTACAGTGGAAGTCAGCGCCTTGGTTAAAACATGGCTGAAGTCAACAAATTATGCTTTGTGGAAATATGAAAAAAAAAAATTTTTTTTTAAAAACCATTCATTTCCTAAAATTGTATACCAACTGAAGAATGGATAAACAAAACATGGGTGTGCCTATATAGCTGAATACTGTGTCAAGGAGGAGGTAATGAAACATGCTCTAACACAATGAACCTTGGAAACATGCTAAGAAGTCAGTTATAGTCAGGCATCATAGTGGATATCCATAATCCCAAGAGAGAATTGCTGAGTTTGTGGCTAGCTTGGGCTAACAGTGGGTTCTAGACCAACCTGAACTACGTAGTAAAATGTTGTGTTAAAACAAAACAAAACAAAACCAACCAAACAAGAAACTAATTATATAAAGCCACACATTTCACTCTATTTCTATAAGTTAGAATAGAGAGACCCAGAGAGATGAAGAGGCATCCTTCCTGGGAGATGTCGACAAACTTCCAACTCTGTAGATGGCAGTAAACATTATTGGTGCACTCTTTGAGGAGCATGCTTTATGTCAAGGGAACTATGCATCAAAAAGGCTCTGGGTACATTATTCTTTAATTTTTCTATTGGAGCTGTCATTAAGTTTGTAAAATTAGTTAAATGAACAAAGTTTTGGCATCCATTAAACATTTTCAGCCACAGCTGACTCTAAAAATTACTCTCAAGCAATAAGTGCCCTAATGGTACAAAGATGTAATGGAATGTCATGGGATGGCACATGGGGCAGGAGCAAGGCAAGGATTTCTGCTTAGATCAACTGCCTAAACCTAAAAAAACCTCAATGTCTGAACAACCCAATATGCTTAGGGGATGTCTGTCTACACAACTTATTTGCTCTGGTTGTATCTAGGTGCCCAGGAAAGAAAGGACATCTGAAAAATGTGAATTTTCTGATCATTGTTGAATCCCTTTAGGTCAGTGACAGAGACAGAGGGAGGGAGAGAGTAACACTATGAGCATCCACATATCTTAGGTCTTCCTCCTCCTATGTGATTAAAGTAACCAGTTAAGTGCAGTCTGAAAGCACCATAGAAGAAATTATAAAACGCTGGGTGTAGTGGCGCATACCTGTAATCCCAGCACTTGGGGAGGCAGAGGCAGGCAGAACTGTGTGAGTTTGAGCCTGGTCTACAAAGTAAGCCCAGGACAGCCAAGGCTACATAGAGAAACCCTGTCTTGAAAAAAAACAAAAACAAACTAGAAATTACAAAACTAACCAGATATGATGGCATGCCTTTAATCACAGCACTCAGGAGGCAGAGGGAGGTGATCTCTGAGTTCAAGGCCAGCCTGATCTACAGAGCTAGTTTCAGGACAGCCAAAGATACACAGAGACCCTGCCTCGAAACATACACACCAAAAATAAAGAAATAGATAAACAGTTAGAGAGAGATAAATAAAGAGAAAAGAAATTATGAAAATAGCCAGGCGTGGTGGTGCATGCTTTACTCCCTGCACTTGGGAGGCAGAAGCTGCGGATATCTATGAACTCCAGGTCAGTCAAAGGCTACAGTGAGACCTATCTAACAAAAAACCCCATTAAAGAGAAGGTGTAGAGTTTCATGGTTCCCATGAAGAATGTATAAAGATTTCCTGTTCTTAATTCAGCCTCCCTATTTCTAAACGTGTCAAAAGCCTCATCAAACATATATGACCCTCCCAGAATGATGAATACTAGAAAACAGAAAGCAAAATTACAGAACTGCTTCATCAGCATAAAAACCTCCAACTCAGTTCCAACCACTTCCTTTCTTGCCAGAATGTTGTCACAAAGCCCAAATACAAACTAAGCAAAAAACAAAACAAAACAAAAAACCATGTGTTTCAATTTTAAGCAAACTCCAAGTTTCTTTCATAAACTCTATGCAAGACATTACAATTGAAAATCTTTCTCCTATGGACCTGCATTTCTCAGTTTAGGTCAAATTATTTAAAATACTTGCTGAGAAAAATTATTGTCTTTGAGTTTAAAATTTTTATGTCTAGGTTTAGTTCATGTTCAAGTATACTTAAGTTTAACAGCAAATTCTTCGATTTTGTCTCATCTCTAACAGAACATTTCCATAAAGAATGAGTTGACCTTTGCCTGACAAGTGAAGACATGACGAAGGCTGTCTCTGCTACTCAAATGTCACAGAGACACTGAAATTCAGGTCACATTCTTATCAACCAGGAAAGGGCCCATGCTGGGGACTTGGTGGGCAGGCCAAATGGTTGCTTTTCTTAGTTCTACAAATGAGCCTAACAACGATTTAGGAGTGGTAAACATTTGCAAAACTTCTGTGTGTGTGTGTGTGTGTGTGTGTGTGTGTGTGTGTGTGTGTGTGT